TTTCTTGGATTAGAACAGTTGGATAGTTTGCTGGTGATATATGATCTTAAGTATAGTATAGTAGACGTCAAAGAGCGTGAGCACTTCCAAGTTGCTGAAAAATGTTGCCCAGAAAAGAGTTAAGGTTTAGACAAGCTACCGGTACTTATATATTCTCTGACCTGTCCCCAAAATAAATATTATTTGTAAACAAAATTGACATTCCTTTGCTTGTTGATTTTTTTCTTTACATTTTTATTTTTGTCGACAGTGAAACATGATTTATTCAGTTATTTGTTTTGGGTTGTACCGTGTGATAGGTGTTTTTGTTACACCCTGAGTGATAGACACATTTTTATTTAGGTCATTTAGCAGGCGGCATAAAGTTAAACTCTGGGAACTGCTGCTTTTTCTTTCCTCATCTTTACTATCGTCATTTTTCCTCTACTTCTTTTATATGTTTGAATTGCTTGTCACTATCTTGTGAACTGCTATTTCTGGGGTGCCTTGATAGTCAAAGTAGACTTTGCGCTTTTGAGGCTAGAGAGGTGAGCAGAGTAAGCCTGATTCCCCATTTAGACTTCTCTGTTGACATCCACCCCTTGGCACTCATATGACCTTATGCAGTTGTGAGCGCCGTAAAACCTTACTAAAACAGAAAGTAAAAGGGCCAACCTGGGCTGAGGGGGATACAACATCCCAGCAGACAGATCAAGAAACTTGATAAAAATTCTCCCTACATCTTGGGAATCAAATTCAAGTCAACAGGGAAGCTTCAAACTGTTCCACCACAGACTTTACAAAATGTCCACTCTCATGCAGATTCAAACCAAGGTCACCGTAACTGATCATAATAACTGCTGAGCTATAGGAGCGGCCCTGTAGTTCTATTGTTTTGTTTTAGTAGTATAGTAGTAGGTGTTTTACGGCACTTACAACACGCTTAGGTCAGAAAGTGCCGAAGATCAGAGGTGTCACTAGAGAGTAACACATAAAAAAGGAGGAGGAGAGAGCAAAGACGGTAGTTGTTTGATAGAAAACATTGGCAGTTTCAGATCAGAATGAATTTCTTTGTAGGAACAGCATTGCTCCTTCACAACCGTAAGAAAGGCGCATCATCGATGGAAGAAGGAATACATTATTTATAACCATAGCAGTCAGGGGAGAGAAAGCTGCAAGAACATACCGTACGGAAAAAGGGCAGATGGATTAAAAAAAGTTTTCGTAGGTTTTACGGCGCTCGCAACTGCATAAAGTCATATGAGCGCCACAAGATTAGAGGTGTCACAAGAGAGTAACAAACATAAAAGGGAGTGCTTAGTTAGGCCACATATGGCCTAAATAAGGTAAGGGAGGGGGGTTTAGCTTATTTAGGCCACACATGCTCAAACTACCCTTTTCAGGCAACCGAGTTCGTTCCACTTTCATAATGGTGCACCTTTCTCATTTAGTACGGTTTTGTCTCAGTGTACAACTTATAAATCATAACCATAATGAATATTGTAAAGAACAAAGCACAATACGCAAAATTTTGCTCAATCCCAATGGTTTGAATGAGCGCCAGATTTTTCCTTCATGGAGGGGCAAAAGCTAGGCTACCATTTTGGCACACTTTGGTCAAGTGAAAAGGTCAAATCCTCCGAATGAACTTCCGGGTTAAACTTGGGGTATAAAAAGAGTGTACACTACGTGGCTGAGTCAAAGTTACACTATCTTTGCCTGAGTGACACTCTCTTGTACTGTCTCGTAGTAGTACATGTAGGCTAGTAGGCCTAGTAGTAGTAGTAGCAAAGATCGTGTAGAGAATATTTGGTAGTAGATTCTATCTAGTAGGCAGTTTAGTGAACGTGCTCAGGGCGAATCGGCCTCGATAAACCCCGTAGACGTTTGTGATCGGCCACGAAGCCTCGTGTTTTTATGGGTCTAGATCTAAACAACTCAGTGTTATTCGCACTGCCACATCCGACAGGCCTAGATCTACATCTTTTTAAAAGGAAAAGAAAGATCATCAAAATGGTTGAATTCGCGTGAAAATCGATTCGGTAGAACTAGAACTATTAAAATTTGCTTCTGAAAACAAGGCAATTTTTATACAAAGGCCATTTTTATAACTCGATGAAATAAAAACTACTGGCTGTGTACTGTGTTATTCTGTATAAAAATAAATTATGAAACTTCAGGACGTATTATTATTTTCCAGCATCTTTTGACGCCTGAGCTGTAGAGGTTGAAGTTTTCACAACACTAATAGATCTAGTAAGAGGGTTAGGTAATAGGGCTTTCCGTAAAAAATGCATAGATCTACAAAAGCCAAACCACCGAATCGACCGGGCACCTCGCTCTCCCCTGCACACTGTGATAACGTGTTGCTGCGGTATCGCATTATTCAACTATTAATACGTGCGGCTATGGCAATTGGGATGTACTGACTGAAAAAAATTCAGTTTTGTTTTTATTTTACCATATATATATTTGACTTTAATAGTGCAGGCGATAGCAAGATCTAGATTCCCTGTCTAGAATCAGTAGTAGCAGGCCTATGCTAGAAGCAGCCAGAGAGCCTACAACTGCTAGATCTAGATCTAACTTATTATTGCTATGCCTTTGGGCTTTGGAATTGAAATAAAACGAATTGCACAGTTCTAGTTACTTTTAGATTCAGCAAGTAACTGTATTTCCAGAGTCAATAATAACAAATCTCAGCATAACAATCACTTTTACTTGTATTAGAATAATTAGATCCAACTTTTTTCTAAAATCTGTTTTGCGCAAACTTAATATTTTCTCTACTTGTAGAGCACAGAATTTACATTGTAAGCCTCTGCTCAGTCTTTTAGTATACATAATAAAATACACACACACAAGCACACACACACACATTTATATATATATATATATATATATATATATATATATATAGAGAGAGAGAGAGAGAGAGAGAGAGAGAGAGAGAGAGAGAGAGAGAGAGAGAGAGAGAGAGAGATAGAGAGAGAGAGAGAGATCTATATAATCATTTTATGTTGATTTCAGGATATTTTTAAAACTCTTTTTTTCAACATGTCATAAAATCAAATTGTGCCATTTTCTTTGAAAAGAATAGCATTAGCAGTGGACTTTTTAGACAGCGAGTCTCTGATTCAATATATAAAAAAAAAAAATGCTAATCAATGAAAATTGCAAATTGATAATAGTTTAGTCCTGTAGAGGATAGGTGGACTCCGGGGTCTGCAGAGCGAAATACTAGGTTTTAGGATGTGAACCCCGGAGTCACCATAGTGAAATAAGGTTTGGTTTAAGTAAGGATTGGTGGACCCCTGGACCCCGGGGTCACCGTAGTGAAACAAGTAGGTTTCTTTAAAGAGTGGTGGACCCCGGGGTCAGCGTAGTGAAATAAGTAAGGTTAATTTTAAAAGGATTGGTGGACTCCGGAGTCACCATAGCCGTAGAGGAATAAGAAGGTTTAATTAAGGATTGGTGGACCCCCGGGACACCTTGATTAAACCTACTTATTTTACTACGGTGACCGCAGGTTCCACCTATTCTAAAAACCTAACTAGTATTTCGTTAGGTAGACCCTGGGGTCCACCTTAAACCTACTTATTTCAATACGTTGACTCCAGGGTCCACCAATCCTTAAAATTAAACCTAGATCTACATGTACTTATTTCACTACATTGACCCCAGGGTCCACCAATCCTTAATTAAACCTAGATCTACTGATTTCACTACGTTGACCCCGGGGTCCACCAATCCTTAATTAAACCTATATCTACTTATAATTTCGCTACGTTGACCACGGGCTCCACCAGTCCTACTATAAAATAAACTGAGATCTACTTATTTCACTATGTTGACCCCGGGGTCCACCGATCCTTAGTTAAACCTAGATCTACTACTTATTTCACTACGCTGACTCCGGGATTCACATCCTAAAACCTAGCATTTTGTTAGGTAGACCCCGGGGTCCACCTATCCTTTTGGCTAGATAGACCCCGTAGTCCGCCTATCCACTTTTTTGATAATAACTGAAAACAATACATGCCAGTTGTCATGAATAGTGAAGAAAAATGCGGGGGAAAAAAAGACAATGAGGTAGACTATAATTTGTCAAAAAAATTGCAAGTGCAAGTGAAGATCATAAAATAATTTTGTTATTTTCTGGTCATCTTTCCCGGCTTACAAAAAAATTCCAGTGGGCCTACTACTAGATCTATGTATCTGAAGAACATTTTGCTTGCCTTTATTAGCTTTTTTCATGTACATGAAAGCATAGAATATATAGTTTCACACATACATATGCACAATACTTTGAAAAAGAAAGATAAGGTCATTGTTGTTTTGTTTTTTTACGGAATCCGTTTTACGTTGAGAAAAGCGGTAAAAACAAGTTTAAACATTTTAAGAATGCCCATAATATTAGTATTAGGAATCCGAAATTACTACCTAGTTGGCTTACTCTTTAATAACCTTCAGCAGTTAAGAAAAAAAAAAGACAATGATATAGGATTTGTCTAAATATGACCATTAGCAATAAAGATGTTGCCCATTTTGTCCAATTATCCTTGCAGGTAAAATCACCCTGCACTGTACCTCAATAAGCACAAAAGGAATATTTCTGTGATTTTGTATAAAGGTGTGGCCTAAATAAGGTAAGGGAGGGGGGTTTAGCTTATTTAGGCCACAGGTGTGGCCTAAATAAGGTAAGGGAGGGGGGGGTTAGCTTATTTAGGTCACAGGTGAGGCCTAAATAAGGTAAGGGAGGGGGGTTTAGCTTATTTAGGCCATATGTAGCCTAAATAAGGTCACCCAACATAAAAAAGAAGAAGAAGAGATAAGGACGATAGAAGCTTGATAGGAAAGAAGGAGCAAACCACACCAGAGCACCCGCCAACCACCCACGGTCAGATGTTTGATAGAAGGAAAGAGGAACAAACCACATAGGAACATCCGCCAACCACCCACTCAAAAAAACAAGTAAAAAACCCCAACAAACCCAAGCAAACAAAATCAAACACAGGGGCTACAACTACAATACGCTTTAATCAATCTGCTCTCCGATTTATAAGAAACAAACTCCCAATCTTTAATCATGAAGAGTAAAACAAAAACATTCAACGTTTCTTGAATTCATCGTAACGGCGTCGGCCACAGGACAGCTTCCATCGCCCGTCCCGGGTCGGAATTTGAACCGGAGCCTCGTGTGTTCGTTCTGGAAGAGCCGCTGTCGCAACACCCAGAACAACCACAAAAAAACCAAAACCAAAAAACCTCCCAAAAAACAAAACCTTTCGGAGTACAAGTCCGAAGGAAAAATTCTTGCATTACTGGTACACAACAAGAATTCTTGTAATACCGGTGCGTATACAAGTCCGAAGAAAATTCCTTGCTTTACCGGTACTATTTTCCCCCCAAAGGGAAGTAGATTGCACTCAAAGTATCAAGACACTGACAGCACCAACCAACCACGACGCTGTTGTTATCCTACAAACGATGTTCCTTTGTTTCAGTCACACGCACGCACACACACATGCACACAAACAAAATACTGAACGTTGCCACCATTCACATTTGGGCGACCATTGATAAATGTGCATTCAGACCAAAGGGTCGCGGTTGTCCGTCTGTCCATTTAATTGACAGTGACCGACTGGGGTCATTCAGATCACAATATCACACCACCTGTTCATTCGTTGAGGTTGATTTTATATTCGTCTGAGGCAAATTGAGGTCCCACAACTGGTCTATTTTCGTATTTTCTCAGTAACTGACAAACTAAACTAAGGTCAAATTCTACTAGATTTCTTGTAGGTTTTCATATCAAAATTTGACCAGGAACATGTGGAAGATATCAGATCAGATTTAACCATAAAAAAAAAAAATAAGGATGGAAAAATTAGCTTGGTTGAATTTGCTCAACTACACGGGACTAGCATAGAAGAAATGGAAGAATTTTTTTAACGCCATAGAGCAAACTAGACAGACTCTCATTAACGGTAGGACGTGGGACTTTGCTCTGACCAGTAGCAGGTGAGATATAAAAAAATAAATCGGTCCATCCCGGTGATAGAAAAACACAGATGGAGGCGGATCTCTGGTCTGAATGCGGGGTGAATCCCTCAAAAGGCTGCAGTTCCATTCCCCACATGCAGGAGGGGGGGGGGGGGGGGGGGGGGGAAGAAAGCAGCAAGAACTTCCGAGAGAAGAAGAAAAATAAGAGCATAAAAAGTTACCAGCTCCAGCCTTCTGTGAGCATCTGGTAGACACAGGCAGCAGCTTTTATCACATGGGGCCTGTTCTTCTTATTAGTATTAATCTATTAATCTTACGTTCCCCCTCTGCTAACCGGGTCAATAAGTATCATCAGAAGACCCACATTCATTCAACCCTGATGGAACTGATCGAAAAAAAAAAAAGAAAAAAAGTCTGATAAACAATAAGTAGGCGTGGAAACAAAAACTTTTTCCGTAATCTTCAAAACAACAGAAGAAACATTTGTCCAACTCATGAATAGCACACACACGTACACACATGCTAAAAACTGGGAATAACATTCAGGCTAACATTTAGCCCATACAACTGAAAACAATTCTTTACAGACTAAAAGTTGCTTTCTTCTATGCACGCGTGAGCTATGAACTGACAACACAGACAGGCATCATTCATTTACCACAGAAGAAATCTCACAGATCTTTAACGAGGTCTAACACATAGAGAGCTCTGTGGCTCGACAATCTTTCATGATCGGTCAAGTCTTGAGTAACTAGATCTCGACCAGCTGTCAGTTGTAAGTGTTCTCATATTTGTGCACAGCTACATATAAATATGTACATCAACACAACAAAAAGGATGATGAAGACGAACAAAGTACAGCGGCGTCCGCTTACACCGCAATGTGCAGAGCCGGCGGATTTACTCTCCTTTAGTCTCGTTCGTTTGTTCGAGTAAAGAGGAGTACATCTACACAATTATGCTCACTTTATGCCGGGAAAAGTCAGACAGACACGCAGGCAGACAGACAGAAACAATTTCAGGCGGTCAGACTCCGACGATCAGACTGCGACAATCAAACATTCAGACTCCAACAATCAGATGATCAGACTCCGACACTCCGACAATCAGACTCCGATGATCCGACAATCATCAGACTCCGTCCGTTGATCCGACAATCAGACTCCGACGATCCAACAATCAGACTCCGTCCGTCGATCTGACAATCAGACTCTGACAATCCGACCCCGTCGAATTATCAAAAGGCGAAAGCCTCGGCTTGGGAGTCGAGTCGCGTGCCCGCCAGAAGAGACTGCGGGTTCTCCAGGGCGGCGCGGAACTCCTCCAGGAAGCGGGTGGCATCTACAGGGTCCAGCGCGCGGCTGTCGTAGGACAAGGTCACCGTCATGCGCAGCCCCTCGCCGCTGTCCAGCGCCACGGCCCGCGAGGTGCCGACCGCCATGATGGCCAGCTGGGGCGGGTTGATGACCGCCGTGAACTCCGTGATGCCAAACATGCCCAGGTTGGAGATGCTGGGGGCATAAGTATATATACATAATAATGGTAATTATAATGATAATAATAGTAATAATACTAACGATGATAATAATGATAATAATAACGAAGAGAGTGATAATAATGAACTCCGTGATGCCAAACATACCCAGGTTGGAGATGCTGGAGATGCACAAATAGACATAATATTTAATAATGATAAATAATAATGGTGATGATAATAATATTATTATTAATAATAATTATGGTTATGATAATGACAGCAATAATCATGATGATGATAATAATAAAAAACCCCTCTTTGATTGGCCCATTTCCCTGCTAGAATACAGCCCACATTAAGAACAGTTTTACTCTCAGTTGCTCCTCAGGAAGCCCAAGAGACGAAACGGTCAGCTGTTTCAATAAAACCAATTTTAAACATTTTATATCTTTGTATTATTTTGTCTGAATATCAAGCAAGACTCTCTCCTACTCTGCTTTCCAAACAATGCTGATAATAAGAATAATGATGATGATAATAATAATGATAATTATAAAAGAAGAAGAAGAAGAAGAAGAAGAAGAAGAAGAAGAAGAAGAAGAAGAAGAAAGACAAAAAGAAGAAAGACAAGAAGACCGAAAATAGTAAAAATAACGATGGTAATAAGAATAATGATGACAATAATGATAATAATAATAATCTTAATAACAATAATAACAACAAGTCGCATTTATGTTGCACATTTCCATTTTTTTAAATAAAAAAAGAAAATGTTCAAGGCGCATTACAACTCGCGGTCACAATAAAACCCATTTCTACTAGAGAACGAGCATGATAATAATAATAATCTTAATAACAATAATAACGACAAGTCGCACTTACGTTGCACATTTCCATTTTTTTAAATCAAAAAAGAAAATGTTCAAGGCGCATTACAACTCGCGGTCACAATAAAACCCATTTCTACTAGAGAACGAGCATGATAATAATAATAATCTTAATAACAATAATAACGACAAGTCGCACTTACGTTGCACATTTCCATTTTTTTAAATCAAAAAAGAAAATGTTCAAGGCGCATTACAACTCGCGGTCACAATAAAACCCATTTCTACTAGAACGAGCAGTGTAAACAAACAATAAATCTCTCTCTCTCTCCCCCTCCCTCTAGCTCCCTCTTCCCCCCCCCCCCTTCTCTCTCTCTTAAGGCCGACTGTCAGCCACAAAGCACAAGTCACAAAGCACCCCCCCCCCCCCCCCCCCCGTTTCCCACATGTGGTGAGCATTTGGCAGACAAAAACACTCACCAAAGAAGGAAATTGACTATGCACAGATTCCTATTTTTATTCTCTCTATCATGTGAGCACCAGTGGTAAAGGAGAATCTAACATCTTTTTTATTTATCTTTCTCCTTCCTTTTCTCACATGGGGACTGGACCCACCCATTCCTGTTTGCATCTACAGCAGTCTACTCAGGGTCAAAGCCACTCATTGTTCACATTGCGTTTTCTCGAGTGAAGAGCAAAAGTCCAGGGATAGAAACTGATCAGTCCAAAATTTACCGAACTTTTCGCGTGCTATACAGATTTGGAAAAACACACTTATTCAATTATAGATTAGTATACATAGTAGAATGACTTGCCATTGAAAGTAGGTAGACAAGCCTCACTTACGGAAAATGACGGAGCAGATCAAAATTACGGATTTCCGTAAATTTACGGAAAATTTCCATCCCTGAAAAGTAGAAGGCCCTCTACACATTTTCTCGAGTCAAGTGCACAAGTAGTAGTACCAGTAGGCCCTCTACACATTTTCTCGAGTCAAGTGCACAAGTAGTACGCCCCCTACACATTTTCTCGAGTGAAGTGCACAAGTAGTACACCCCCTACACATTTTCTCGAGTCAAGTGCACAAGTAGTACGCCCCCTACACATTTTCTCGAGTGAAGTGCACAAGTAGTAGGCCCCCTACACATTTTCTCGAGTGAAATGCACAAGTAGTAGGCCCCCTACACATTTTCTCGAGTGAAGTGCACAAGTAGTAGGCCCCCTACACATTTTCTCGAGTGAAATGCACAAGTAGTAGGCCCCCTACACGCACGGGCAGTACTAGCCCCAGGGGTCGGAGCTCTCACCTGAAACTACCTCCCTGGAACTCGTGCAGCTGAAGCTTGCCTTCCTTTGCCCTGCCTGCCAGTTCCTGGGGGACACAAAGGGGAATGGATCATCATACAATGCAAATCCCCGCTCAACAGCAAGCTCTATGCGCCTCACAATCTATACTATTACCAACTGAGCAAGATGGCCCAATTTATGACAGATACCAGACTTCAAGTGTGATGCGATCGAGAAGAAGAAGTATATTATTACCCCAGCAGACCTGAGAGCATTCTGAAACAATCTCAACTTTCTGGGAAACATACAGGTGAAAAGGACATTGGTGACAAGGATGGGAGTCTCTCTACCTGTCCCCGTCGTTTTATGCAAGAAAAATTCTGAAATTATGCAAACTGAGCCCAAAAATGGGAAATTATGCGATTCTGTTCAATTTCAACAAAGAATGATAGAGGGAAATAATTAGAAATTATGCAAAAAATGATCAAATTTTGCTAAATGATGCAGGGTGCATAAAACCACGGGGACACTCTGGAGAAATAGTTTTTGTTTTAGTAAGAGTTTTACGGCGCTTAGAACACAAACAAGTCAGTCAACACTTTGCGGTCACACAGCCAGCAGTACAAGTACAAAATACCCCATCTGGTGACCCAACCAGAGAGCAAATGCAACCGACTCCTTGGGCCTGGCCTGGCGCAGAACTGCGTCAGGTGACCAGAACTGATCATTTTCACCAGCGCAATATTGCGCCAAGTGACCGCAAAGTGTTGAGTGCCGAAGATTAAGGCGTCACTAGAGAGTAAGAACCACACCAAAAAAAAAAAATGAAAGACGTCAAATATATTTTATATAGTAGAGGGTTTTATGGCGCTCGCAACTGAATAAGGTCATATGAGCGCCAAGGGTGGGTGTCAACAGAGAAGTCTTTACAGGGAATCAGACTTACTCTGCTCACCTTTCTAGCTTCAACAGCACAAGGTCTGCTTCGACTATCAAGGCACCCCGGAAATAGCAGGTCACAAGAGAGTGACAAACATACAAAAGAAGTAGAGGAAAATGATAATAGTAAGGATTAGGAAAGAAAAAGCAGCAGTTCCCTGTTGTAGATCAGGCACAGTTATGAGCGTGACATGATGAATCAGCCCATTTACAATTCTACTATGCTTGAACGAGAAATGTCCTCCCTTTGGGAATGGCCTAAAGACACTACAGTCAGTGGCACCGCCCCGGGGGGTGAAAGACGTCAGATGTTTGATAGTAGGAAGAAGGATCAAAAACCACATCAGAACAACCGCATCAGAACATCCGCATCGCCACACACCCACAGACCTACCTTGACCGTGTCGCTGATCTGATCCACGGTGAGATTCGCAGCCCCTCTCACGATCGGCGTGATGAGTCCGTTAGGCGTGGCCACAGCCACTGAGATGTCGGCGGTCGAGGAGAGCTGGGGCCCGTCGCCCGCCCAGATGGCGTTCACTCGCGGCACTCTCTGTGAGACACACACACACAGAAGGACAGTTGTTAGCTTTTTGGGTTTACTGAGAGTTTTACGGCACTTGCAACACAATTAGGTCATTTAAGTGCAGAAAATTAGATAGTTTTAGTGAGAGTTTTACTGCACTAGCAACACAATTAGGTCATATAAGTGCAGAAAATTAGAAGTGTTACAAGAGAGTAATAAACACCAAAATGGAGGAAAGATAAGGATGATAGATGTTTGATAGGAAAGAAGGAGCAAACAACACCAGAGCACCCACCAACCACCCGCAGACGGACAGTTGTTAGCGTTTGTGTTTTACCGGGAGTTTTACGACCCTTGCTACACAATTAGGTCATATAAGTGCCAAAGATTAGAGGCGTTACAAGAGAGTAACAAACACAAAAAAGAAGGAGAAGAGACAAGACAAGCTAGCCACACCAGAGCGCCTCCAACCACCCACTACCACTCCTGTCTGACGACCGACCTGCAGAGCCAGCCCGGCGGCCTTGACGATGAAGTCGTTGGCAGAGACCTTGACCCCGTCCTCTTTGAGCTTCTGCCTCAGCGCTGTCACAGGTCCCACGTCTGAGTCAATGGAGGCGTAGGCGTGCGGGATGCTGGACTGGGAACAGAGACGGGAACATTCCACTGGTTAAGATTAAGAAACAGAGATGAACATTTGACAGGTTGAGAAACAGAGATATGAACATTCCACAGGTTGAGAAACAGAGATATGAACATTCCACAGGTTGAGAAACAGAGAAATGAACATTTCACTGGTTGAGAAACAGAGATATGAACATTCCACAGGTTGAGAAAAACTATGTTGGACTGGGAACAGAGATGGGAACATTCCACAGGTTAAGGAAAACTATGCTGGATTGAGAACAGAGATATAATGAACATTCCACAGGTTAAGGAAAACTATGCTGGATTGAGAACAGAGATATAATGAACATTCCACAGGTTAAGGAAAACTATGCTGGATTGAGAACAGAGATATAATGAACATTCCACAGGTTAAGGAAAACTATGCTGGACTGAGAACAGAGACGGGAACATTACACACGTAAAGAAAAACTATGTGGGACTAAGAACACAAACGAGAACCTTCCACTGGTTAAGGAAAACTATACTGGACTGGGAACACAAACGAGAATGTTCCGCTGGTTGAGAAACAGAGATATGAACCTTCCACTGGTTAAGGAAAACTATACTGGACTGGGAACACAAACGAGAACTTTCCACAATTTTACCCTATTTGTACGTCATGTTTTACTATCGTATCCATACGACGTAGAGAACTCAGTGTCACCACTTTCCAAAGAGGAAGTTTACTCGTTAATCAGATCCGTACGCTTTGCATAGCAGTCTGTCAAAATGATTTCTTGAGAAATACTGAAAGTTTAAAAGAGATCTTCGCACTAGAAGTATTCTAAAATATGAAGAATACAAACCCGGTGGTACAAAATGACCCCAGGGCGTATGGATAGGGTTAAGGAAAATTATGTTGGACTAAGAACAGAGATATGAACATTCGACAAATTAAGAAAAACTATGTTGGACAGAGTAAATGTTTGAGTTTTAGTAAGAGTTTTACGGTACTTGCAACACAATAAGGTCATATAAGTGCCGAAGACTAGAGGTGTTACAAGCGAGTAACACATACAAAAAAGAAGCAGGAGTGATAAATTAAAGGTAGATAGATGTTTGATAGTAAAGAAGGAGCAAACCATCCCAGAACACCCTACAACCACCCACACAGAGAAAATAAACAAGAACTTTCGACAGGTGGAGGAAAACTATGTTGAAACACGCAGTTGTGTAGTAGATGTGAGACTGAAAGAGGACCGTTTTAACACAACACAACCAATATGGGTTTAAACAGAAACCAAATAGTGGGAACAACAGCTGGCCTAGCGAATTTGAAAACAGGTTTTTATGTGAAAATAACTGGAAAGTATGGGGGGAAAAACTGCTTCCTCACTATATTGCGACAGCTTTAATGGTGAAGAAAACACACATGCACGCATACACTTTAGTTGGTGGAGAAAGTAAAGGTGACTTAAAATTTCAGTTATTGTTACTGCTTACATTAAAAAAATAATTTACTGCATTCACATTTTCATGTAGGCCTACCCTTATATTGGAATTTCATTCATCAGATGAACAACTATCAAAATAGGTTCATCTGTTTTGATTTAACTCTTTGCGCGCAGAATTTTTTTCCACTGACCCTGATACTATTGAAAAGGAAATTGAATAAGCTATCACAATAGATGGGTTGCATGGTTCTTTGTGTTGTAATGTACGAGCAATTACGCAATATAGGGGGGGTAATAACTGAAAAATAATGAAATTGGCTACTTTGACGAGTTTTATCCAACTTGCTGTCACCATTACCCATGAAATACAGACTGATACTCAACACAACAGAAATGTTTATTTGTAAATCGCCTTTGTAAAAATACCACATACGTTGGTATTCCAGCACAGAGCTTGTTCAATAATTTGGAGTAACTGAAATACACGAAATGCTAGCCAGCCACAACCCACATCTCCACTGACAAAAGACCTAGACCTGCAATTAGCTCCTAATTCTATCCTTATAATAAATCTTGTACTAGCAGTTGTACCAGCTTTGTTGACATTGCTAGTACTAGGTCTATACTTAAGGGGCAGGTTATAAATAATGGATGATTCACCTACTACCCCTGATATTTTTTACCTTAGACTCAGTGAGTCGTTTGGCGATGGTCCTCCTCATGTTACTCAGGGGGATGTCCACAAAACTGCCGCCTGCTGACGCCACCGGCGCTGTGGCTGCAGGTGCTGGGGGCGGGGCTACCGGTGCTGCTGCTGCCACCTGCTGGGCCACCTTGCTCAGATTCTGGGACTTGATGTAGCTCAGCACGTCACTGTCGCCAGAAAACAAGGTCCGTTGAAATTTCACTTTTTGTTTTAGTAAGTGTTTTACAGCACTTGCAACACAATAAGGTCATATAGATGTTGAAGATTAGAGGTGTCACAAGAGAAAAACAAACACAAAAAAAAGAAGTTTAGTTTTTAAAAGAGTTCTACGGCACTTGAAACACTATAAGTATAAGGTCATAAAAGTGCCTACGATTTCAGGCGTTACAAGAGAGTAACAAACACAAAAAAAAAGGAGGACAGCTATAGACGTTTGATAGGAAAGAAGAAGCAAACCACACCAGAGCACTCGCCAACCACCCACTATTGCGTTTTAATTTTAAAATTTTACTAAAGACTTTTATGGCACTTGCAACACGAATAGGCCCCTATGTCATAAAAGTGCTGAAGATTTGGGGGGATACTAGAGAGTAACATACAAAGAAAAGAAGGAGAAGATATAAGGACGATAGATGTTTGGAGAAGAGATAAGGACGACAGATGTTTGATGGTAAAGAAGGAGCAAACCACAGCCAGCTTCCTATTTATTAGCCACACTTGGGGGGTTAACCTCATACAGCCAGCTTCCTATTTGTTTTTAGCCGCACTTGGAGGGTTAATCTTACACAGCCAGCTTAATAATAATTGCATTTATATATGGCGCATATCCATGCTCAAGAGCATGCTCTATGCGCTTTACAACTATTATTACCCCAGCAGACCCTTTGAGAACACTCAGAAACATTCTCAGCTTCCGAGGAAGTATACAGTGCAAGCTGCGGATTCACGCGCTCAAACACCATCAAACTGACAAGATCTTTCACTGTCTATAGCCAGGTACCCATTTCCACCTGGGTGAAGTGAGGAAAATTTGTGCAAAGTGCCTTTCCCAAGGACACAACGTCGGGTCCCTGACGGGATTCGAACCCACGACCTTACCGTTGCGAGTCCGAGAGCCTAACCACTAGGCCACCGACGCTTCCTATTTGTTCTCAACATTTGGAGGGTTAACCTCATACAGCCAGCTTCCTATTTGTTCTCAACATTTGAAGGGTTAACCTCATACAGCCAGCTTCCTATTTGTTCTCAACATTTGGGAGGTTAACCTCATACTATCAGCTTCCTATTTGTTCTCAACATTTGGAGGGTTAACCTCACACAACCAGCTTCCTATTTGTTCTCAACACTTGAAGGGTTAACCTCATACAGCCAGCTTCCTATTTGTTCTCAACACTTGGAGGGTTAACCTCATACAGCCAGCTTCCTATTTGTTCTCAACACTTGAAGGGTTAACCTCACACAGCCAGCTTGCCCTTACCCTTTCAACAAAGCTCCCGCCGGTCCTGTGCCTGGGATAGCCGACGCCTGAAGGTTGTACTCTTGGAGAAGTTTTTTCACGCTAGGGCCCATCAAGTGTCTGAAGTTGGAGAAAAATGAAAAGTTACAGTTATGTTTTGTTGTTGTATGTTTTGTTGTTGTTGTTATTAGGTCGCTTTTAAGCACAAGGGGGCTATCCTGAAAAATGCTGTTTTGAGAAAATCAAAAGGTAAAAGTTTTTGCCCCTTGTTCAGTTTCTTTAAAAGACAAGGAGAGTTTTCTCTACAACTAAACAAATAAACACACCCCAAATGAAATGAAACTTCTCCTATAGGTAGGACAATGCCCACTTATGGTGTAGGTCAAGATTTCTTGAAAACCCCGAAGACTGGGTCAGCCCACTTGTCCTTAAAAGCGACCATTTGTTGATCCAGTATCCTTTCAGCATGTTCCATTCGGCCAAGTACCATGTTAAAACTTGTCTGTGGTAGGGATGGGAGGAAAGAGTTGTAGCTCTGTGGTTGTTGTTAATCTACATGCAGTAGCGTTCGAGCACGTGCCATTCAGCCCAATAACATATCAAGAAAGGTGGAGGTCTTTGACATATGTGAGGCAGCGTGGTGAAATCGGGCGCTCATCAAAATAATCAAAGTGAAGAAACTGGCATTTTCCCGCAGATTGGCGGATTTTTATAGAATTTTTATTTTTTTGCTCATCAACACCTTTCATGTCCATCAAAGAACACATTTCTGTTTGGATTTTCACTGATAAACGTTGATTAAAGGCATTTAAAAATTTTAATTTTCAGTTCCCACAGACTCTCAAGCTAAGGAAATAACTAATCTTTGGCGGCCATTTTCTCACTAATTTTACCTCTGAAAACAGGCGACCTCCACCTCCTTCTTTTGCAAATGTGTCAACTTGTATTCAAGATAAATGGATATTTTTTCCTCTAAAGTAAGACAAATGAACAAGACTTTAAGATGATACCAATAACTTTACATGCCCAAAAATTGACGAAAGCCCGATTCTACCACTCTGTGACACATTTATATATGTTCTTTGCTGCAGTACAGGGTATTGTCTGTGGCTGGGATGGGAGGAAGAAGTTGTTGTTGTTGGTGGATGCTGTAGTTTGGGACATCCGAACAGCAGATATTGGATTGCGATCTGATACACTTTCAAAGATGAAAGTTTAAGCTTTTGTTACACAAACACGTAAAGCAGGAGTCCCTTCATGTCCTTCTGAAAGACCAAAAAAAACGAGAAAACAGTTGGACAGTCATTCTTAGCCACATACCCACTGGCAAGTGCACAACCATTTATTTATCCTGCCGTATCAACTCAACGACCCCAGTGCCTTTCCCACACACCAATGGTTCACGAACACTCTGTGTATCCCTGTGACGAGTTCTCATTTGACAGTGGGAAAAGCAGCGGGGTCGTTGAGTCAATAAGGAATGGTTGCAAAGTGCACAGAGTATGTTGTAAAGTGGGATATGTGATGTATATATAAATGCGATTATTAATAATATTATAAAAATAATAATAAATAGCATTCGTAAAGCGCATTTATCCCCGCACAGCAGCAAGCTCCATGCGCTTTACACTATATTATCATTACCCCAGCAGACCATAGAACACTCAGAAACATTCTCAGCTTAGCTTCCCGGGAAGCATACACAGCAAGCAGCTGATTATTATGCGCTCAGACACTAACTAACTGACAAGATCTTTCACTATCTATAGTTGGTTACCTAGTCCCACCTGGGTGAAGTGAGGAAAATTCCTATTAAGTGCCTTTCCCAAGGACACAACGTCGGGCCCCTGACGGGATTTGAACCCACGACCTTATGATTGTGAGTCTGAGAGCCTAACCACTTGGCAAACCTGGGGGAATGTTAACATGTTTTTAGGCACATTAGAATTGTAAATGGGTTGATTTATTAATGTCATGCTCATACTGTGCCGAAACAACATAAGGGCAACTGCTGCTTTTTCTTTCCTCATCCTTACTATGCTCATTTTTCCTATACCTCTTTTGTATGTTGGTCACTCTCTTATGAACTGCAATTTCCAGGGTGCCTTGATAGTCGAAGCAGACTTTGTGCTGTTGAAGCTAAAGAGGTGAGCAGAGTAAGCCTGATTCCCCGTTTGGACTTGTCTGTTGACATCCACCCCTTGGCGCTCATATGACCTTACGCAGTTGTGAGTGCCGTAAAACCTCACTAAAAATCTAAAACTATAAATTCACTTACCCGTGGTCTTGCCCTGAGCCTGCTGGGGCAGCAGCAGGAGCAGCAGCAGCAGCAGGAGCAGCAGCAGCAGCAGCAGCAGGAGCAGCAGGAGTAGCAGCTGCAGCAGGAGAAGGAGCAGCAGCCTGAGCGGGAACCTCCACACTCTGCCAGTCGTCTCCTTCCTCCACCATCACCGCGATGAGCTGACCCACGACCACGTCCTTACTGTTCTCTGGGATCTGAGGGTCAATCCAAAACTCTTTTGTGCGCGTGAGAGTATGTGGGTGGGGGAGAAGCGGGGTGGGGGGGTGGGGGTGCATGAATTACCCCTTTAAATAACTTAAACATCAACAAAGAGGCATAGTTCTAGAAATAAAAAAAGAGTTTAGTTTTAGTACAAGTTTTAGTTTAGTTTAGTTTAGTAAAGAGTTTTACGGCACTTGCAACACAATAAGGTCATATAAGTGCCGAAGATTAGAGGTGTTACAAGAGAGTAACAACAAACGTAAAAAAGAAGGAGAGATAAGGACGATAGATGTTTAAGAGGAAAGAAGGAGCAAACCACACCAGAGCACCCGCCAACCACCCACGTACAAGTTTCATGGCACTTGCAACACAGTTAAGTCACATAAGTGCTGAAGATTACAGCGTTACACAGAAAAGAAGGAGGAAATATATGTCTGAAATATATGCTGTTCAATATAATAATTTTCAATGGTTTCTAGAACTGCTATTATAAAACAAGAGAATGGTTCTTTAGGACGAAACTTCTCTTAAGGCTGGCTTTTCAGCATAGTATTCTTAGCCCATTTGAGTCTGGTCTTCTCTCTCCCTCCCCTTCCCTTACACCTCTCCCCCCCCCCTTGCCCCCCCCCCCCTGCCCCCCCCCCCCGGACCGATGGAATTCCTGCAGCCACAAAGTTATCATGGTTGACTTCTAGAATCTATATGGTCCACCGGATGATAACGCTTACATTCAGTTCTCAAAAGGGTAAAGGTAGTTGAGCCCAGGTAATCGATGAGGGGGGGGAAAAGCCAGAGGGATCTTACCAAAATTTTGGCTAAAACGCCTTCTTCCTCTGTATCCATGGACATGATCGCCTTGTCAGTTTCGATATCACAGAGAACATCGCCCGGAGAAATAGTGTCCCCTGAGAAAATAAACAGCATAAGTTATAACAAGATAAAGGTGAAGAGAGATCAACAAACCAAAACACAAACTGACCACTTGAGTTTATTATTTTAAATAAGGCAGACCTTATCTCTCACTCTCACGAAATAAAATACCGTCAAAGTGGTGTCAAGGCAGTACAGAATAATTTTACCTTTTATTGTAAATGGTACTTTAAAAATTATTTCTCGATACAGAAATTGTAAAAAACAGTTTATAATACTAAAAATGACTTTGGTCATTGTAACTGCAGCTTTGGGACCCATCACCCACGAGCAGACACTTTACGATGTCCGAGCTAATCATAACATGACTCATTGGTAAATGTCTGACCTATCACTTACCTTCTTTTTTGTGCCATTTCACAATGTTGCCTTTTTCCATTGTGGGCGAAAGTGAGGGCATGTCGATCTTGATAGTACCTACACAAAGGTAAAGATAGGCATGCAAATAAGTTTTAGTTTTTAAAGTTAATTTCATCAATTCAGAAAGCAGCTTATCATCTGGATAATAAACAGTAGATTTTCTTTTATAATCTCATTTAAAAAGACAAAAATAACTCCCGGTATTCTTAACTTTAGTATGAATCGTGTTAAAAAGGAAAAAAGAAAAGATTTTATAAATGTGAAATTAAAATCCTAAAAAAAAACGTCAGCAGCCTAAGTTCACAATCACAGTACTAGACTAATAAAATGAATCCCAAGTTCCGCCAAGAATGAATCTGCAATATTAAATCATCAAGCTATATGATCATCTTATCTATCACAGACATATAGGCCTAAACCGGCATTGGCCGGATTTAACTTTGGTGGACCCACCGTGTTTACATACCACATGATATTTTTATCATATATGCGCACTGATAACAACATTGGGGAGGGGGGGGGGGGGGGGGTTCAGGCTCCCGGCAACAATAATAATTTTTAAAAACACGTGAATGCAAAACAATAAAAAATTTAAGAACAGAGAAAAGAAAAGCGGACCATGAACAGAAATGTATGGCATCAATGGCATTTCATTGCACGGGGAGGCTCAAATTAGTAGGCAGTTCTGGCGTCCATCGGAGTAGGATCCACCAAGGTTCAATCTTACGCAGGCATTAATTCATCTGTGAAGGGTGAACACCTTCACTGTGAAGAAGGAATATAGAAATATTATATTATAATCAAAATTTAAGTTCATAGACTTAATAGCCTGCCGGTTTAAACCGTGGAGTAGGCAATCAATTATCAATTAGCGAAGACGGCGAAGTAAATGACATTGCAGCAAAGGTGAAGTCTTGCATTACCCAGTAAAGGCGCATTTGAATGGATGTGGTTTGTCTGAATTACTCTGCCCAAAATGTCTTTTGAAGGTGAATGATTATAAATATTTTTTAATTTGCACATAAGACCGAGGCGGCCACCGAAACGGTGTATAGCAGTTGCCATCTTGAGGGCATCCAGGGACATCACTTCTTTTCAGGAGGCACCTTTGACACCGGAAGGGAAAAATACATGTTGACATGCCAAGTTTTTCTAACAATGTATGCTTTGTTAATCAAATTTAAAAGTAAATTGTCATAGGTTTTAAAGAAAATATTACCTTTCCTGGATAACTTTAATAATCATTATGTCTGCTTGTTTTAGCTCTTCACTGCTAATCTATACATTGAAACAATATTTATCTACATCTGTTTTCAAGTACAAGTGCATTCGACTATCAAATGACAAATTGGTATCCAAAGCCAACGATCAAGTTCCAGCATAGACTTATAATCCTAAATAGAGTACTGTCATGGTCACTGCACCCGGCCCTAAAAACAAAATACAACAAAAAACAAACAAAAACAAACAAACTAACTTCGGTGCAAAGTGCACTCACCACAGGCGTCAACATTACGTCCAAAGGAAGAGCGAATTTTTCGGTATCGTTTGTTCAGTCTGTCAAACACCCTCTTGTCATATGGATTAAAGGGTGCGCCCCACAGCGAGCCCGAAGTACATTACAGTCCACCATCTAGGCTGTCATACAAGATAATATAAGTCTATGAGCTCAATCTAAATCGATATAATATGCACAATTCATTGATGTAATGCGAAGCCAGAGGAAGAGCAAAACAGCGTCTTCCTGAACTGTTTGTTTGGTAGGCAGGACAGAATAATAAGGAATTGGCAACACCACTTGCACATAACATAGGGTCTACTGAAATGCTTTACGAAGATTTTTTTCGACACAAAGAGGTTATAATAGTATACTTGCTCGTTATGGGTGAGAGAATGACACTCACCTTCGATTAAAAAAATAAAGCACTGCTCTGTAGGAACTTTTAAAGAATAGCCCACAAGAGAGAGAGAGAGAGAGAGAGAGAGAGAGAGA